GGGTCGCCCCGGGAGGGCGTTTAGGGCGGTGGCGGGGGGAACTGGGCGGGACCGCCCCGCCCTGCCCCGCGTTCCCCCTCCTGTCAGGCTCAGGGGGCGTCGCCGAGCCGAGGAAGTGGAGGCTGAGGGGGTATTTGCAGCCGCCCCTCCCCAGAAACTGCCCGAGTGGGAATACGATGAATTCCCGTTGCTGTTCTCGTTTTATTATTTCAGTTGTTACAGATAAGCAGAACACACTGCACAGGTGGCCAGAAAAAGAGCTCTTTACCATGTGATACTACCATACGTTTGTAGCCAGATTTGCTGATAACCAGCACGTTTCCATCTGTGCTCTTCCAGCTCAGGGCACTGCAGGCTTTGTCCCCTGTTTTTGAGAACAGGGAAGGGGAGAAGTTGACCTTGAAGCAGAGGTGAGTTCTGACAGGAGCAGTGACAAGGACAGGGCTGTGCCCAGTGAAGGCAGCAGGTTCAGCAAGTGAAACCCTTAATTGTGCAAGCACCACACCTGAGGGAACCTGGCCAAGTGCCCACAGCAGTTGAGAAACATGATCCAAGTGTCTCAGTCCTGTATCGTGGGGGTCATTACGCAGCAAAGAGGTACAAACGCCATGGCAGACTGGTGCAGTTCTACATGTGCACTGAGTTTGAGTGAGTTTTATTTCTGTTCCTTGAGTCCCAAGCAAACCCAGTAGTGCAGAGCAGAGGTAGGACAGTGGAGGAGGAAAGAATTTCACATCACCAGAGAAGCGAACAGGTTGATCTCTTGGAGGACAAAGGCCATGCTCTTGCTCAAGCATACTCAGACCCTCTTTGCCTTACATCTTCACACCAACCAGCAGAGCACTCCTTTAGATGAAGTCCTGCTAGAACGGAAGCACAGATCAGGCCAGAGAAGCTGCCCTCCAGTACCCACTTCCACATCAGCACCATTCAGCTTGTTTCAACACCCAGTTCTAGGAGTACAGCCTAAAGCCCCATCCATCCTCCAGTTAAGTAAGACTCTGTTGGCATCCCTCCACGCAGGAAGCAGAGCTGATGCCTGTGCAGCCCATGGAAGAGTTGTGCCTTCAGTGACAGCTGGAACTTGATCTGTCATCTCAGATATTGAGGAAAAGTAGAGTAGAGGGTTTTTTCCAGGACATCCACCTATTAGTGAACAGTTCTTTCCTTCTGTCTCTGGTAATCTGGAAAGGAAACAGAAGGCAAGGCTGAAAGGGTAGAAGCAGCAGTTGCTGATGACAAGGGGGAATTAGCCAAAATATTCTAGGAAAACATAAATTCTGTTTATACCTCGCTAAGTAGAGGCAGCTTTTGCCACCTTCTTGGGTAGCAGCTGGCTTTAAAATAGTGTATTTGCTCCCCAGCCAGTCATTTCAAGTTATTTTAGAGCAACTTAGAACAAAAGTTTGTTTAAAGTCCTCTCTTCCCTTGCTCCATATTTTTATTTTCTCCACTTTCACTGAAGGGTCAGTTTCCATTTTATGAGGACTATGTTGCTAAGTCCTGCTCTACAAGGTTTTTTATGTGGGCAGTTGAAGCCAGTCCTTCCTGTTTTGACCCAGTAGCTGCCCTGATCCCCAGATCAAAGCCCAATGTCCTTTCTGATCTGCAGGCTTAGCACCATTTATGACCTTGTATTCATAATGGCTAAGCTCACATGGAACCAGCAGGGCTGCAGGGCAGTCCGCTGCCCAGGGAGAAATGTTGCTACGTGAGAGGACTCTCAGATCACGGGCACTTACTGTAGGGGAAGTAACGCACACGCATGGTGATTTCACGGGCTGTCTTCAGGATCTCCACAGCCTGAAAGTGAAAAGAGTTGCTCAGTGACCAGACTGGGCTGCAGGACAGGAAAGAGGAACGTAGCAGTTACGTGGTGCCACCAGCTGAGTTGGTGCAGGCTGGGAGGCAGGAAGGCGATGGTGTGTGCACGGACTCCCCATCCCATCCCTGCTCCAGCAGCTGGGCCACAGGAGCGCTCACCTTGCTGTGCTCAATGTCCTGGAAATCCACATCATTCACTGACAGCACTTGGTCCCCTTCCTGCAGACCAGCTCTGTGTGCGTCCGAGTCAGGGATCACCTGCGAAGCGAAAAGCAGAGGCAGCAGCAGTGACTCCTCACACAGCCGAGGCAGCCCAGCCCCACAGCCTCCCCACAGTGCCCACCCAGCATGCTCACACGGGACTGGGGAGGGCAGAAAGAAAGGACTGCAGTGCACCAGCAACATGCCGTGGGCTGGGGAGAGAGCAGAAAATGGTGCAGGACTCTCTGATTGCTGCTTGGTGCATGGCAAATTACAGCTATGAGTTCAGAGATGCGTATAAGGCATGTGATAGTCACCCTGCATGCCCAGCTGGCTCAGCAACACCCAAGGGAACAGGCAGAACATGGGGAGGGAATGGCAGAAGGACAGACACACCTTGGAGATGAAGATCCCCAGCTGTGAGGCTTTTCCTCCCCGGATGTTGAAACCCAGCTGTGGGAGAAACCAGCAGTCAAATGCAGCCACCCCCTTCATCCCAGGACCTCTCCCACTGGTAACGTGTTCCTTCCCCATGGAGCAGAGGTCTTGGTGCTGCAGCAAGCACCAGTTCCTCTCTGCTGACTCCCGTGGCTATCTCACCCTGAACACCCTAGGGGTTCCCTGTCCTTTACCAGCTCCACATCACAACGTTCTGGACTTCTCTGCCTCACCCACTAAGCTTTCTTCTCCCGTCATGGCACAGCCCTTCCCAGTTAGCAATGCCCCCTCCGTCCTGCCCTGTCCTGTCCCTGGATGAGGGAAGCACCGGGATCCTGCCCTCAGCACCTCATCTCAGCTGGGGGTTATCACAACCCCGCAGCTCTGCCGGCCTCTCCAACTGGTTTTTGCCAGGAAAGGCACCAGCAAAAACGAACGTGAATCAAACACGGGAAACACCACGCCGAGGAAGCGACTGGGCAGGACCCACACCTGCCCACGGAACCCGTGGGTCAAGGCTCCGGAGCCCATGGAGCGAGAGGGGTAATCGGGGTCTCACCTGCGCCCCGGGCGGCTTCTTCAGGACGATGGTGCGGGGCAGGAACTGGGTGAGCTCGTTGTTGTAGTCGGGGTGGAAAACCCTCTGCAAAGCAACGTGCCGGCGGCTGTCAGCGGGCGGGACCCGCCGCGCACCCCTGGGCCG